CATAAAACACGGCGCGGCAGAAACCAAATACGAAGAGCGAGAAATCGACTTCGCGTCGTCGACGTCCAAGGGCGGCCTAAACCGACGGTGCTCGAATCGGCAAAGTCGCGTCGCGCGCACCGCGTCTCTGCTCTCTACCACAACCGCTCAGCCTCGCCCGCCCGCGTCCGACGTTGGTACGCTGGTCGGGCATCCAGACACACGCCTCGACGCCATATTCGCGGTCTGCGATAGCGGACAAGTTAGCCGGAACCCGCCGGGACGCATGCGACATACTAGAAACGGTACGTACTCTGGCTGCTTGTAGTCTGTCCATCTCCATCGGGCCTCGTCATCGGGCACGCGGGAGGTGGGCTCGATGTTCTCGTCCGATAGCTTGTATCGAACTCGGTGCGCACGTTCTCGCTGGTGATGTGGGAGCGTGTCTGCGCTGATCAAAATGCGCACTGGCATCATGCCGGACTGCGTTGTTGGCCCCTCCGCGCGGCCTGCCCCCTGCGCTGCTAAAATGTGTTCGCGAGCGTACCTGGTCAAACCGTCGTGGGTTGACTAATCGACTCCTAAGTCGGTTTGTGGTCTCCGCGAGCAGATGGCTCCTAGAATACAAATAGGCTCACCAAAACATGCCGGGAACTGAAACCGAGCCACGGGCCCACGAGTTGTCTACAGCGCCGCCAATAGAGCACGAGGAGCACGGCTCGCATGGCGGCGAGTGTGGTGGGCAGGGACGGATATGACAGATGTCCGTGCGGTCCGGATGCTTGAGCGTGCCGCTGCGGCTGGCGTCCATAAGCTCCTTCAAAATGTCGCCGCCTGATGAGTGGGAAGCCGTACATTTCAGCCAGCGGCTCACCTTTGCGCAAGGTGGGTTGGGCTTCGCCCCGCCGTTCCTGTTCGCTTCGCGCCCCAGAGCTCCCGTGTACACCCGCAGATGCTTTCTTCAGGTTCGGCAAGTGGAAAGTCGTACCGCGAGCTCGGGCTTGCAATGTCCGTGCGTGTTTTGGGAGTTTCCGAGGTCTGTGTCGTGAACTGACGGTTGGGGAGAGTGAGCATGGGGGGATGCGGGGACAGACTACAAAGTGTCAGCGTGTACGGCAGTAGTTGGGCGCGAGCGTGCGGCATAACTGCATGCTTCTACGGAAATCAGCACGTATCCCATGGCTAGTAGCCCGAGCAGACAGCGCCGCTCTCAGTGCTCGTTTGAGCCAAGATACTCACCTGGCCGTATCCCAGCTTCAACTCCGTCACGGTGGCGCTCAGGATCGTAAGGGCAGCTTGAAAACGGGTGTCCCGCTCCGAGGTGTGTTGTCTAGAACCACTAGTGCTGCATGCAGGTCGAGATTGTGCTGACAGGTGATTGGGGGCAGGACACAGAGGTACAGGTTCAGGTCGACTCGAAGGTGGTTCCGGAGTAGGTATGTATCGCGAGGCAGGCATCAGGAGCACAAGATCAGGCGGTAAGCCCAATGCATTGCCTGCTCGAGAAGCTCTAGATGGCGACACAGCGGTCCCTGGCAGCGCACTGTCGGCGACCTATGCGTGCGAGCGCAAGGCCCACGGCAGCGCCGTGTGGACGGCTAAGTGGATGGTAACCCGCTCTGATGTGCTATTGGTGAGAACATGTCAGTAAGCATTGCGGACGCCGCTGCCATGGCAGTAAGCGACTGCTCCGTGATCTTGCTTCGTATCGCCTGCGTGCCATATGTCTGGCTCCATCTGTCCACTCAGCCAATAGTAGTTGCACAGTGCGTGCGGTGTGATCGGACATGGTCAAAGCTCAGGACTGGTATATTGTGTGTGCCCTCGCCAATTCTCCTTACGTCCTGATGCACATGAAACAGGGCCTGTGCTTCACCATATGAATAAAAAATATGTGCACAGCTCTGTGCGTGCAAGCAATTTAATGTTGTATTCCTTGCACTGAGAACTGAAGGGGACAGGAGCAACAGTGGGTGCAGTAAAGTGCTCACACTGTTGCTCCTAGCCTCAAGTTCATTTCTGCATTCCAGCACAGGCAGCAATTCCAGTCTCTGTAGCGGTGTAGGGGAGCCGAAGGTTTGCGCTTACTAGCCGCACGGTTCTGATTTCGGATATCAGGGTCACGGTGGTATGGATACGCTGGGCGCTGCCGGTGCACTCGGAGGATCATGGGTGGACGAGATCTGCGGAGATGCCACCCCCACATGAACTCGGAAATTCCGGCTAGAACTGCCGTGAGTATAATGAAATATTGCCAATGGGCAAGGTGAATTTGCAGAAGCAGTACTAGTGAGCGCGCGATATGTAAGTCTATGCCCGAGTCAAGTGCACCAGAGTGCGCTAAGTTGGCCTGCCTATTTTGGTAAGAATGTTCGAAGCCGCAGCTCGAGCCGCCACACCGGCCGAATCTTGCAATCGGCCACAATGTTGCCTTCCTCTTCGCTGTGTATATTATGCTGGAAAGTCCCTGTCCATGCACGAAGGGGCTTCTAAAATTTCTCCGTCTTTACTAGGTCCCTGAGCTTTCAAACTCGTCGAGTCTGGTAGAAACACGCCGAGTACTTACTTACATCCGCAAAAAAAGCCCCAGCGCTCTGCGGCACGGTACACTGTACAGATACATAGCCGAGGAACTCGCGGTGGAAGCCTGAATGTGCGAGGTTCTCACCCTGGGCTCTCGCCGAACTGTTCTCAAGATTTGAGCTCCGAGTCTTTCGGATCCACGCGGAATTGTAAACAGCGGCGAATGTGCCACCGTTCCCATGCCTCGCGTACGCACCTTCGCATAATAAATAAGCACGGACTGCAGTGCAACGTGTGAGGATGCTCCCAAGCCAGTCGCGAGGGAAACCCGACCCCGACGGCACTCGGGGGTCTTGCCGGTCACAAACAGTGTGTTCGGTGCGCTGCTCCTTCCGGTACTGGCAGCAAGGTTTCTTGGGTGCTGCCTACAAAAATTACACCATGACAGAAACGAGCGTTTTGACGATGAGACGACTATTGGTACTGACAGAAGAAGGGTGTAGGTTCTCATACCGCTAAATCCAAATTGTACGTACATTGGATGATCCCGGAAGCGCGTCCCATCGGTATCCACTCAAAGTTGGAACATTCCGGACCTCACCGCAGCCGTCCAGAGCTCGCATTGCGTGCTCCCCGCCGTCTGGATCGCTGTAATCATCATACGAGGCCGCGGAGCGCCCGCATAGGAGCAGGCATGATAGGGACAAGATATATTTTGTCGTAATGTACACGTCGTGTGCATACCTACTTGCAGGTGTAATCCTCGAGACTGCCTCGTGAGAAGGACAGCCCGCTCTGCTTACCGCCACCCCTGCCTCGTGCCGACAGAATTGCGCCCGCCGCGAAGCGATGGCGGTTGTACTAAACTGGGACACCCTCACCGTTGCCGCGGCAGTTCCGCCGCGACGATGCCCACGCCCGCTCGAAATGAGGGTATTCCGCGATACCTCGCATACGGCGCCCTCGCCGTCCGAACCGAGCGCACCCAGACCCCGCAGATCAACGTCAACAGTGAAACACCACGCGCGTACCTGTAGCCATCCCGACCCCGTCGTGCGTGTCCTTCTCCCGCTCGCGCCGTCACGCTCGGCTGCCCGTGGGCGTGTCGCCCGCTGGTTGGTGCGCCGCGCGGCGGGCGCGGTGCGTTGTCCGGGTGCTCTCGTAAAGTTGGGGCTCCGTGTCCGTAATGCGCTGCTTCCGTGCGACGGAGGCGGACTTGGCTCCAGTGCACGGCGGCCGCACGGGCCATGATACGACGCGGGGAGACGGGACGGCCCTAAACCATGTCGAGGATAAGTACGGGCGTGGTCGCGACGCGGGCGTGCTCACCTTGCCCCATCCCTCGTCCCATCCCTCGTACCCATACCTCCTGTCTGTGCCCGCGAAGGGTCGCACGATGTTCGCGACGTCCATGCAAGAGGTATGTCAGCTGTGCATATGATTGCGAGAATCCTGAACTCACCGTTCGGTCTGCAGACCTCCGTGAGCCGCCGTGCGCAAGCGTCAAACACGCCGCCGAACAGCGAAACTTGTATTGCAGGGGCAGGATCATCGAGGCGCGTGATTTCCGCGGTGAGTGCTCATTGCACGGCATCGTCGTATCGTTGCAGACGGGATACAGCGGCCATGTCCGCGCTATCGCTTCCCCCGGGCCGCCCAGACCAAACACCGTCCGTCGTGGACGTGTGCGCCTGCTGCCGCAAACCCGCGGTGCGGGTGGCCACGAGCGATGAGGTACGTCGCGCGGTCGACACCGTGCTGGCGCGCTCAATTCTGTAGCAGTAGCACGCGTGATCGCGCCGCGTACGAGCACATCGCGCGGCGCCGAGGCGTGCGCTCGCATCCGCGTCGCGTCGACCGTGTGCCATACGACCACTCAAAGCCTCGAGCGCGAAGGCCCTTCGCATCCGCGTCCTCTGCCGCTGGGAACCATCGTGAGCGGGTGCTTCATCTACGAATGCGCGCAGGCCACTCACAACGACAGTCCAGCTGCTCTGTTTGCCGCCGCCACTCACCCCGCACGACATACGAAGCCCGATGTGGGCGACCTCGAACCTGCTATTCACCACGGTCAGTACTGCGCTCTAACGTTCATCCACGCGGGAGCACTGACCTCGAGCACAGACGTCGCGGGCAACACCCGCCGTCCTCGCCACCCACGAGCACACCACGGTCGAAGAGATGGGCTACGCAGGCACCGTCTGGGGTGCCAGGACGGTGTCGCGGAGGGGACTCTAACGGCGTATATTGTAATTCTACGTAGATACTGCGCGGGGCGACGTCTCCCCGCCCCCTGACACGGCATCTCCAGATCTCCGCGGCGGCGGCGCTGGGGCGGGGCGGCGTCGTCCAGGCTCTCGAGCGGTCGTCCCATGCGTCTCGAGGTGAGGGCGTCGCGGCGGGCACGATGCTCCACGACGGCCGCTTCGGCTCCGCGCCGGGGAACCTCCAGCACGGGCCCCGAGGATGAGCTCCCGCTACGTAGCCTCGGCTCAGGTAACATGTACAGGCCATCCAGCGGGGCGGTCGCACCCGTCGCGCCGAACCCGTCCGTCTTCATTCTGGCCCGCCACATGAAACGGTCGACAGCGGCCCAAATTTCTTGTGCGCATATCGCCGCGAGACTTGGAGGGCGGGCGCGCCCCGGTACGAGCCGCCTCTCGTCGCGTGCATGACGGCGCCCGGGGCGGCGTTCGCGCGTACTGCCAGATCTGGGGGCCTCGCGCGGCCTCCGACGCGTCCACGCGCCGATACGCCTCGTTTGCGGGCGTCCTCGCCGTGCTGCATGGTAGCAGATGCCCCAGAGAGCCCGCGTGCCAAGGCGCGCGGCGGTAGGACGCGAGGGCAAGGTGCGGCGGGCAATTTTCGAAATGCTCGCCCACGGAGCCGCCGAGTTGTCGCAAATTTTTTTGTGCTCGGATCGAGCCCAAATTCGGGGGGCGGCTGCGACCCGGTGCGACGAGCCCGCCGTCGAGTTCACGAAGGGTTCCGCCGCGGCGTTCGCGCGCGGTTCGACATCTTGTCGCGGGGCCGGCGGCAGCCGATCGCACCGGGCGAGCCACACCCGCGGGGCGCGAGCCGTGATACCCGGGGACACTTCCAAATACCCACAGAGGTGTTCGTGCCAGACGGCGCGGGCGGAGGACGCGTGGCTGGAGCGGGGCGGCGGGGACGTCTTCGAAAATGACCATAAAATCGTCGAAAATCGGCCGATCTCCGACTCCTCGTATCGCGCTGAAACCGGGTGGATGTATGCGTCTGTGTGCGTGGGAGCCGCCGTCGAGTCGGCGAGGGCGTCCGATGCGGCGTTCGGGCGCGAGTCGAGATCTTGCGGGCGCGAGGGGCGGTCGACAGAGTGGTGTATGACGCGAGGGACGCGCGTGGCGCCTACAAGCACAGGCGGGCAGGCTCGGAGGAGCGTGACGTACGCTTTCCAGACCTCCAGACTGTCAGCCGCGGTCGGCGGGGTGCGCGCGAACATGGCTCCGTCCTCGGTCGCGTACGGCCGCCTGGCGCCGTTGCACGCCGCGAGTGTCGTAGTGCACGATTCGGGGGCTACTCGAGAGCGCGTAGAGTGTTTGTAGACGTCGATCTGAGAGCTGGCTGCGGAAATATGCGATTTTCCGTGATCGAGCGACCTGGAAACTGGACATGGTGAGCGCAGTTCGCACGCGAATGAGCTGGGAACGTACCCGATGCGGACCCAATGCTACACACCCCGCATGAGATAGCTATGCTGCGTGTCGGTGACGAGGGGAGCGCGATAGGATGGCGGAAGACGGCCGGGGAGTCGCCCCCGTGCCGGCGACGTGCGCGGCGAAGGACGATGACAACACTCGCGCGCGTGTGGAAACGGAGTTTACGGGGCGTCATAAACGTGCGCTGGGAGTCTGGATGTGGGGCGTGGAGGTCTGCGCGCTGGGCATGGAGGTCTTGGGGACGATTGCGGGCAGCGGCTGCTTGCGTAACCACTCCGCCGTGCCGCGTACACTTGCGTCGGAGGGTGCATACAGAGCGTGCCTTGATCCTGTACGAAGAACCTAGATCGTACTGAGCGTCGGCGCGCGGGTATTCGTGATTTGAAATGCGTGCGGCCCTAGAAACAGACATGGTGAGCGCAAATCACGAGCGGGGGGGCTGAAATCGCACCTGATGCGAGTTAAGTGTGTACTATACCGTGCTGTACCATTCGCCCGTGGATGCTTCGCGTATTGCATTGCAGAGAGCAGCAGTAACACTCGCAGCGCATGCGCGCGTTCCCGGCGAAGGCCGCGCGCGGCATGTTGGTACTTGCACAGGCGTATGCGTGGCAGATACAGCTATCGACACCTTTGTGCCCGAGAAGGGGCGTCGCGGATAAGACCGTGCAGAACCAGACCTCTGGCAGCGGAGGTACGCGTACAGGGAGCGGGGATCGTGTCCTGCTGGCCGTTCTTCTCGCGAGCGACGTAGGAGTGCATCGCCGGGCCGATTATGACGATCAGCTGGCGCTTCTCACGCGACGGGCCTCCTGCACCCGAGCATTTAGGTGAGTGAGGGCAGCCGGCTGGAGCGCGGACGCGGGACGTACTAATAGCGTGGACTATCTAGAACGACGAAGCGTTCATGGCCCTGGTATGATGCCAAAAGGCAGCGCGGAGGGGCAGCGAGAACGGCATGGGGAATGTCGGCACATCGAGGGCAGGGGCGGGCAGCGCACCAAAGACAGGCAGAAGGCGGGCACAGAGACAGGCGAAGGCGTGTTTAGCGAAGGAGAGCGATGTAGCGATCGGTGCGAGATCTAGCAAGTAGTCGCTCGCACGAACGCGAGCCCCCCGCCTAAAGATGTCCTGA